AATCTTTTTTAACAATTAGTGAGTCTTCTTAAATTTTTGGACATTTCTCCAAAGGTTTTGAATTGACCATGTGTTGAACAATTGGTTTGTTTTTTCCTAACTGAGAAAGCCTGATTTTTGTTCCTCTCTCCCATTTATTCTCCTCCTGTTCAGTCACTCTTTGCTGGTTTGTTGTCAATACTTTGTCCCCTTCTTGTTGTGAGTAGTCCCAGTTTTCAGCATTTTTGTGGATGTATGTTTTTGGATTTTTGCTTCTGTTACCCTTTTTATTATTAAACATTCAACTAACCACCTCAAGCTTTTGTCTGCATTTGGGTCCTTTCAAACCACCTCCATTGTGACAGTAGGACAGCCGTGAAGACGGCGACGAAGGGGGACCTCTGGAGGACGGCCGTGAGGACGGCGTCTCTGCTATAGAACCCTTGATTATATGGGAGAGAGAAACAAAGACCAGGCTAATTAGCAGAATGGGAGCAGGTGTGAACAGAGGCAAGAAGGGAGAAGGAGACTGACACAAGAGGGCAAACAGGAAATATCTAAGAACTCAAATACAATCAAAAATACAGAGAAGACAAGAATGAAAAATAAGACCAATGAAAACTCAGTGATAAAACTTGAACAAACCAAAACCATGACATGTAGAAATCATAAAGACTTACGTATGCACATACTCATATCTTGGTTTATTGTGTGAGATGGGAAGTAACGAAGTAAAAATACTTCGTTACTGTACTCAAGTAGATTTTTCTGATATTTTTACTTTACTTTACTACTTATTTTTATGGCGACTTTTTTCTTCTACTCCTTACATTTTTGCACAAATATCTGTACTTTCTACTCCTTACATTTTAAAAAATTGGCTCGTTACTTTAGTTTTGAATCATTTCAATGGAGTTACCGTTATTATTTTTCACGTCATCAATACCAAATTCAATCTAATTGGATGGGAATCTACGTTGCATTTGACGCACCACTACAAGATGAATCGACAGATTCGGCGGTATTCATTCGCGGCAAATCATTGCAGCTTGGTGGCGGTGGCGTTAGCATAGTAGCATGGACGACGAGATGATTGAAAATGAACACAACGGAGATCTAGTCCTATTGGCAGACATCCATTTAAAATGTAGGCATGGTGGCACCACTGCATAGGTTACTTTCGTACTTTTTCATGGCAGTCAGAATGGCTCAATTCTGATCTTTGCTGCTCCAAAACAATCTGATCCATTCAACCTCCATATATGGTGCTAAATCTGATAACATTTTAAAACATCTGCAGTCTCATTTCATGCAACTTTCACATCATAATCGAGGCTCTGACTCCTCTCCAGCACAGCAGACACTGATCCACAAAAACAAATGGTGCATAATTACCTTTCTTCCTCTTGTATGATCTGATTGTAATACTGTGGAGATCTTATAATGACACAGAGATGCAGACATATGTTATCACTTCCCTAACCAGACAGTGCTGATACTTTCCATTCTCTTGGTGGTTGTGTTTCTGAGGAAAGGCCTAAAAGTCAAACTTGAGACACGTGAGTTCTAATGTCCTTCTACCATGTTTGGACATGTGCGCTCCACATGGTCCTTCAGTGGGACTGTCCTGCGCAGTCTGATGGTGGCTGCATTTAAGCACTAGTCTGAATGATCAGATTTTACAAATAAAAAAAAATCGGGATTCAGCATCTAGACCTGCAGTGTGAACGCAGCCATATTCTCCTGATTAACACCGATGTAAACTTTCAGACGGTCTCTATAGCAAATTTTCCAGTCAGATGACTGACGTATAAGGATGAGGTAACAAAATGTTTTTATTGGCTCTTCATTGTTCTTTTTACCTGTTGGTGACAATTCCAGAAAAGAGCCGCAGCGCTGGAATCCGTAAACCATTTCTCTGCCTAATTTAGATCAAATGTGTAAAAGTTCTGTTAAGATTTGTCCCTTAGCACAGTGATTCCCAACCATGGGTACTTGTACCCGTGGGGTCTGCGAGTGCATTGCAAACAGTACTTGAAAATATTTTATTTCTTAGATAGTAAAATAAAATAGGGCTGTGATCTGTTTGCTTTATGAGGACTAAACTAAAAAATAAAGCTTTTTTCAAACAAAAAATAACATTTTCTTTGAGTTGACCTCCAGCTTTGACACCACTGATCAAAATCAAGCAGAAGATCAGCATGGATGCAGAGAACATTCTGGTATCTGCTGGTTTTCACACTGAGCTCATCAAAGCAGCTCAGGTTTCTTGATGAAAACAAATTAAAAACTAATTAAGTCAGGCTGACTATATTTTTTGTTCTGTATTCTGTTCTCAATTTGTTTTCATCAAGTTTAAATGTTAAAAATTATAAGAGGAGGAGCTCCAGTTTTATAAATACAGGTTTATAATATGATTTTATTTTGTATTTATTTCGATTCCTTACTAGCTTTCAGGCATTTGTGTTTTTTTTTTTATTTGAGATGGAAATATTATATTATAAAAATAAAATGCTCAACCTGCACAGCTCTTTTAACTCAGCTTACTTATGATGTTGAGCTTTGCCACAAGGGGGCAGCAGATGATCAGTCACCCTGCTCTCTATAAAAGTTTTTTCGCCGTCTACCGTTGGCGTGTATGGAAGCAAATCGTTACCATATTTGAAATGAAAAAGCATTTCCAGAAATGCTTTTCATTTTAAAAATGTGGCTGCATTGTTTGGCTCATAAATGAAATTAGTAATCAATAATCCTGTTTGCATTTTAATTTTCTTCTTCAACACTGCTCATCCTTTTACTTAATTAAAATAAAAAAAGACATTTCAGATTTATTTTTCAAAATGTGCCCCTGCAAATACATACCAAAATTCAATTTGAAATGTAAAATTGAAAATAAAAAAGCATTTCTGGAAATGCTTTTTCATTTTAAATATGGTAACGATTTGCTTCCAGTGAGAAAAAGAATTGTTAGTGTGACGATTCTCACAGTTAGGGTCGTAACCACATTGGGGGTCTTTGAGATCCACCATGAAAATTAAACTTATAAATACTTGTGTGAAAGTGTTTAAAGATGTTTAAGTATCCCTTGGAAATGGAGAAAACACCGTAACCATTTCATGGGTCAGGGGCTAAAAATTGTAAGAATCTCTGCTTTAGAGTAACGTCCTGAGAGTCCCTGATTTTCTAACATGTCCCTATTTTATTTTTTTTTATTTTACCTTTATTTTACCAGGAATTCCCTTGAGATAAAATCTCTTTTTCGAGGGAGACCTGGCCAAGAGGCAGCAGTACAGTAAGACGTATAAAAACAGATAAAAACAACGTAATAAAATCAATCATAAACTATTGATTATATCTACGACTGGGCGTTCCTCTAATCTGGCTTGGATTGAGCAATAATCTGAGCTGATTGATCTCTACTACAAAAGAAGGCACTCTGGGAGTTTTTTGTCGATACGTTTCTTTATTTGAGTGCGTTTCCATCAGTGTGTCCAGTTATGCAGCAGTAACATGTGTGTGTGAGGAACGGCTGCCGAGCTCAAGTTCTACGGGATCAGCTTCCCTCCGCCGGATCCAGCAGTGTAGAGGAACGACTTCCATCAGCTTTGAGGCTTCACCTTTAGTCTCATACATACCAACTGTACACATACACTTATACACACGTCATCAACATGTGAACAGAAAAAAAAATAAACATATCAAACTGTGATACCAGCTTAGACAGCATGCTGACTGCAAGTACTGATTCAGTACACAAACGTACAGTGCATACGCACGACACACGTGCATACAAACGAGATCTCACACTTTGTCTTTTTTTTTGTCTCTTTACACACAGAAACACATTTTGTACAAACATCTACTCTAAGTTTGGATTTTCTTGCTCTTCCTCAGACAGACAGATGGATCAATCAGAGCAACATGCGGCGGACGGTTAACACTGCAGGACTGAGCCTTTGACCCTTTACACAAACAGCCTTCCCCCTTTTTTTCACCTTGTTTCATTCAGGCTGTTTACCTGAAACAGCAACATGACAACATACTGACAATGTGGGGGGAGAAAAAAGAAGAAATTCCTTTACTAAAATAAAAATCTTACTGTCGTAACCTTTAGAGATTAAGTAAAACCCTTCGAATAAATTCATCTTTTACTGCAGTTAAATAATCTCACAGAAACTTAAGAGAACATTTACAGTATTAAAAAAGGTCATCAATAGCACAATTTATTTTTAATCCGTATACTTTTTTAAGATGACGGGTTTCTAGCAACTAGAAGTTTGATAACTTCCTGTTTCACTGAGATGTAAATATATAACAAGGGTCTATCTTCTTCTACTCTGGCTCAGGAGATCCACAGAATTAACGGAAAGGAGAAAATAAGCTCAGTAACCATTGGCTGGCTGTAAAACTAAAATAAGATGATAAATATGTGGAAAAGCAGAATCTAAACTATAGAAGATGATTTAAAAACAGAACCTGACCTTCAAAGGAAACAAGGCCTGAGGTCTGCGTTAGCAGCCGACTGCTGGCGTTAAACATGGTGAGGACGCATTTATTATTAACATATAATAGGTCACCTTTTTTTTTTTAATCAGCTATGCAGCTTTAAAGCTAAGCAAAGCAATAAATATGTTTAATCCTTTAGAATGGCAGACGTCTGAAGTGTCCAGCTCTGCATCAACTCTGTTGCAGCATATATTCAGTTTGATCAGCAGTTTGGGAAAGAGAAGAGATCCAGTTTAAAAAGACGTTTAAAATCAACCGTTTATCCAGACAAGAATCCACCTTTCCTACACATCTGAGCCCTCTGACCTCAACCTGGAAGAAGAAAGTAGGTTTGCTGAGGAAACTGGAGAATAGGGGAGGAGCCTAAAGTCTAAAGGATCTAAAATGACGATGAGGTCAAAGCTTCAAAATGTTACAGGAAACAATGAAGTGCTGTCCAACCGGCAAAAAGGAGAAAAAGTATTAAAACCAGAAGTACCAACAGTGGTTTTAACAAATCTGGATTTGTTTTTTTGTCAACTGAACTCAAAGGTTTACATAAAGTTTATGATTCTCCGTTTTTCGTGGTGAGATTTTGGTAACGCAGCAAAAGAGGAATCACTTTTAGCAGTAATTAAGCTGGACATGCTGATAAATACAGGAAGTAAAACAAACAAAAACAAAAAAACAGTAGCAGCAGGCTTCATAAAAATCCTAAGCATCTTTTTATCTTCCGTGTATAAAAACATGATTGACGGCGTGACTTAAGAGACGAAAAACATTTTTCTTTTTTTTTTCTTTTTTTAACGCAAAATGATAAACAATCATTTGGATGCAGGATGTATAAAAATAGACTGACTGGGTCTTTCTGTTCCTCTATTAGACCATGGAAGCTGAAAGAGAGGCTGACATTTATTTTTTTAAATAAAAAGTACCACTTTGACTAAAATAATCTCACCAATAATAAACGGAACAACGTTAGAATACTGTCAGCTGATATTCTTCCATTATTCCCAACAGATGCTCTCTGAACTAGAACTGCATAAAGGAGACAAGTTCCACTCTGAAAATATTTGGTCTTGTAGAAAAGTGTTTGCATGTTAGACTAAAACATTTGAGCTTAAAATATTTAGTCAATCACTGTTGTTCAAGTTCTCCTACTTGGAAAGATGACAGAGGTTTGTTATCTTTAAATGGATTCACTTTAACTATGAGAGACAACATGAGGGGATAAAAATGCATGAAATCTCATTTTTAATTAGTTTGTTAATTATGGTAGAAAATAAGTATTTGGTCACCGAGCAACAAGCTGGATGTTTTGCCCTCACAGACTGGAACTTTTTCTTTAAGAAGCCGTTCTGTCCTCTACTGTGTTAATGGTTCCTGTTTGAACTGGAACCCATCCGCAACTCCAGACTCATTTCAAAGACCAGCGAGCTGCTGAAGGACACCAGAAGGAAAACTATCAATCTGCACCAGGCTGGGAAGAGTGAATCTACAACAAGAAGCAGGTTGGTGGGAATATAGTCACTATAGGAGCAACTGGAAGACTATTAATAACCTCTATCCAGGATCTCAACCTGTGAGGATAAAATGGTGAGAAGGATGGTGAGCAACATGAAAGGATGTGGTTAGTGAGCTGCAGAAAGCTGGGGCCGAAGTGGTACACTACGACCAGAGGGACAGGCGTGTCCCCTGTCCGTGTCCACGGCGTCACCAGAGAGAAGATGGAACAAGAATAGAACTTTTGGCACAATGCTGGTTAAGATTCTCGGTCATCCAGGTCATAGTCATCCCAACAAAAGTTAAAAAACAATCAACTGGGCTTTGTTGCAAGTTTGCTGATGTTTCTCTTCCCATCCAAGAAGCTTTTTCAATTCAAAGTGTCAGAAATAGCGTTGAGTTTGAGGTTTTATAGAGTGGATCAAAAACAAATGGGTCCGCCCCTTTGGTATGGGCACAAGTTCAACTTTTCAGGTTTGAAGGGAGAAGGATCCCAGGTTGATTCCCAAAACACCAAACCTACGGAGAAGCATGGGGGCGGAACCATCATGCTTTGGGGCAGTTGTTCTTCCACTCTGACTTAATGACTGATTGGTGTTAAAGGAAGCATAAATGGAGCCATTTGTGGTGAGATTTTAAGGTATAACCTCCTCCTATCAGTGACAGAACTGAAGATACAAGATGGTCAATGACTCCAAACAGACCAAGGAGCAATAAAAGCCTTTCAGGGTCCAGACGTCAGCCCCATTTAAGATTTGTTGATGAAGTTTAAGTCTACGTTGCCCAGCAACAGCCCCAAAACGTGATGCAGCTATGGAGCAAAACACCAGCTAAAGTGAGGAAACCTGCTAAAGAATGACAGAAAAAAGGTGACCTCATCAAAGTTATGCTACAAAGTGTTGAGTTGAACTTTTGTTATTGACCAAATACTTGTTTTCAATCGTAATTAACAAACTCAATGATTTTCTGCTTTTATCATCTCTCTCTACAAAAATGAAAGATTGTCATCTTTCTAAAGGGGAGAACTTGAACGATCAGCGATAAAACCTTCTTCCTTCTCCCTGTATGTGCTTGTGTCCAGAAAGATGGCGGTGAAAACCATGCAGGTGCAGCAAGCAGAGAGCTACAAGGCCCTGGATGTGAATGCAGCTGTGCGAGCGTTGAGACAGATGTGGGGTTATTTAAAAAAAATGGATCTGAGATGAAGTAAAACTTCCTGAAGTTTTACATCCACGGACCAATAGGAGACGGTTATTGTCCATTATATGAAGGATGAGCCGACTGTCAGCTTTTTTCCCTCCTTGTGTCCTGAACTCAAGTGAAACCTTCAGCTCGTCTTTATTTCAGACCATTTGAATCTGTTTTGTCCTGCAGGGCAGACGGTGGATCCGGCTCTGCGTTTAGAAAAGTAGCTTCCATGTTTACAGTGAGCCTCATGATCTCCTTGCCTCTTTCTCCATCCAACCAATTCCTCCTCCCTGTTGGATTCCTCCTGGAAACTGAAACCTACTCGTACTCCAGGAACTGTTTGTGATAAAACAACAGGTACCTGAGGAGAAAGGAGCAATGCAGCATCATAACCAATCCCAGCAGTTTAAGGGTTACGTCTGCACTTCATGAGACCCGCTTACCCTTCACTGTCCAGGACATCTTTGATGCTAGCCTTGGTGATGATGGCGTCGTCGCACTTGAACCACTGGTCCTTATGCTGCCGGATGAAGGTGGTGTAATGGCCGCTCTCTAGTGTCCCCTGGTGGTTCACCACCGCAAACAAACTGTACCTTAGACGACAAACGGACAGAGGGAAGATCTTAGATTGTGGGTGACTGCATGATTCGGCAGCCAGATCAGACTTATAAAACATTGTGTAGTAAAACTGTATGTATGGCAAAAAAAATTATAAAAAAACATGTTTCTTATTTTGTTTTCAAATTCATGAATAGTTTTTCATCAATTTAAACTTTAAATCGAGGTCATGAGACACAGGTTCAGTCAGGGAAGAATTTAATTGATCTATCCAAAGCATATATTAAAGAATAAATTGATGTTTTATGGCTTTTTGAGGTCGACCACTTCTCTTTTCTGAACCCTTGAAAGAAAAACGGAAAAATCTAAAGGATTTTTTTTTTCAACTGTGTTTTTCTACATTTAAATTGAAGAAAAATTTGGAACCTAAAATGAAAAAGGATGGTAATTTTCAGAAATGACTTCTTTGTAGATATTAGTTAATCAGAAGCTGATGTTTTCTAAAAGCTGGAGCAACATCAGTTGCCCTGATACCATTGGGGATTTAGCTGGGCTGAGGATAGATGTGGCTCCTTGGATTGTAAAGGATGCAGACTTCTGTTAGAGGAGACGTTCCAGAGAATAGTAACAATTTTGCTCCTGGAAGTAATTCTCCTCCCGTGCTGCGGAGGCGCTAAACCTATTTTGCCCTCCTACCTCGCTTCCTGGTTATACTCTTACAGCAGTGTGTTGCAGTAAGCTTGACACAGACATTTTTAAATTATTCTCAATACTGAAGCGTGGTCTGTGCTAAACACTGTGGGTCTAGATACGGCCGAGGCGGCGAGGAAGTGGGGGCGAGTTTAGTCCGATGACGGAGGGACATGAGAGCCAAAAAGAGCAGAGATCCAGCTGGAAAAAGGCTCCCAGCGTTCTCGCGCACCCCGCTCTTCTAGAGGGTCAAACTTCACAAGTTTTTTTCCTGCAATTTCGGTCATAAAAACAAAACAAGCCGGCCTCCTGTCTGCGGCACTGTTTGCGGTCAGCTACAATCTGGGAGAGGTGCAGCGGAGCGTCTGTGGAGGGGGCATTGCACTGACTTTGTGCAGTATTTTTTGTTGCAAGGCCTTGCAGAATCTATAACACAGGGGTATTATTATTTTTCAGTGAATTAGGTTTTAATAGGAATAGATGGAGTGCAACTTTTCTACTTCTGTTATTTTCTCAAAAAAAAAAGCAAAACAATATTACAGCTTTCATTGATTTATTTCAAATTTGAAACATTGCCTAGCCTGTAAGGTGTAAAAGAAAAAAAAAAAAGAAACAATAATCGAATTTAATTGAATCTTGGTGTATTCTTGAGTATCGAAAATAATCGAATCGTTGGGTCAGGAAATCGATACTGAATCGAATCGCCATGATGGATGGGATTTACACCCCTACCAGTTATGCTACTCCTGCTTCTAGAACCCCTTTAAAACAAATTCTGCAAAGTCTCAGAAGAAAAACTACACGATAAATGATATTTTTATCTGCTTGGTTTCCGTTTGTGTTGAGCTTACTTATTGTCATTGTTGAAGGTTTCCACAGCCTGCTGGTACTGCCCGTTCATCCTGCTCTCCTTACTGAAACAACAAAAACGCAGAGAATGAAACAGACCTCAGATCTCTTTAGTTTCCTGTGATACATGAGCAGCAGCAGGGTTCAATCATGTCAGCATCATAACGAGTGTTGGGAGTTTTACTGCGGCAGCAGTAACATAGTGAAACATTGAACTGTTCACGCCTTCAGTCCGTTTCTTTTCTGCACAAGTTAAATCCAAACTTCTGGTTTTCTCTACAATTTGATTAAATTCCTGCACAGCAGCTGAGCTTCTGTCCAAAGGCTGCAGATCCAATTATTTTCATATCTGCTCACCTAGAGGCCATGAAGGGAGTCATGTCCAGCTCCAGTGGGAATGAGACATAAGTAGTGATCTTCCTCCGCAGTTTGGCTGAATGTTCGAACCTCTGCCCAAACACACAGACAAAGGATTGTTAGCTCTCAGCTGGGGTCGTCATCACAACCTTTTAAAAGGTCAACATTTAGTCGCTTTACTTTCAGGTGAAAGCAGGCCACGACGGGCAGCTTCTTCATTGTTAGCTGCTTGGTGGACTCCTGGTAACTATGGCATCCGCTGCACTTGATCTTAGCGCTGCTGCCCAGGTGCTCCGGTCTGGTGAACCTAAAGAGTTTGTATTTGTTATTTTACTTATTCAAAGAGCTACTGACAGTTTAATAGATGTAGAGAAACAGGTGTGTTGTTACCTGCGCAGACAGTCCATAAGTGTGGTTGCTCCAGTGGTGTGACTCTCTCCGTTTAACGTGGAAACATCTCCTCCGGGGCTGAGGGGCCAGAAAGGCGTGGAGGATCCGGGTAGGTCCAGGCTGATGTCCCAGAATGGATCGATGGTCGTTGAAACACCACTGATAGAAATGGATTAGACAGATCAGACAGGCCCTTACAGCTAACATCCAGTTTCCTGCACGGCGTTGTGGTAATGGAACGTTCTCATGTTCTGTGGCACCGGCTTTGTTTGCTAGATGGCAGTGGCTGCGTTATGTGGACCGATCATATTTTGTGTTTCGTTTGTCTGAAAGCAGTCAGAAAAAAAGTCATACCTAGAGACAAATTTACAACCCCTTTGTGAAGGCCGGCTTTTCAAATTGGCCACTGAAAATTGTTTTATTGTGCAGTCTAATTAATAGCGCATATCTTCACCTGAGAACTGATTATGTCATTAATGATGTCTGTGAGTTACAGACCCCGGTTGCGCACACTAAAGTGTATATGACAATAAAGTAGTGAATCTCAATCTATTTCATTTTAAATAGGCCTATAGGCTCATAGGTCTTTTTTTGCAAAAAAAATAAAAAATTTCACAGAATCCCCTGTTCAAAATGACTTCTAGCGACCCTGTTACTGTACAATGATAGAGTCCTCTTTAGTCTTTGCAAATTAATGGCAGCAATCATCTGTTCCTCTGAGGTCAGAGTGGACCTGCTGCATCAACAAAGGAGCCCTAATCGTTTTCAAACATGTCCGGATCAAATCAGGACAATACTAAACAATGAAATAGATTAATTTTAACCAGTGCTGCATATCAAAGGGGTATAAAAAAAAAAAGAAAAACACAGGGGATATATTCTAGAAGCATTAAAGTAGAGCAAATGCAAACCCTATTACAGTGAACCCTCGCTATAACGTGGTTCACTTTTCACAATCTCGCTGCTTCACGGATTTGCATCATGCATTGTTAAACT